CTATCTCTCTGGCCTGGATGAATATGTAAATATGCATGTATAGAAAGGTTAAAGATCTTCAATCATATTCCATCCAAATAAGATTACCCCATGCCATACTATAACCAAAATTTCTAAGACCAAAGACAGAATTCCAAAGCAGCAAGAGAACAGAAACAATATGTAAAGAAGTTCTAATATGCTTGATTCAGACTTACCAGGAGAAATCTTCTAGGCCCAGAGAGAATTTGATGCCATATTCAAGGTATCCAAGAAAAAAAAAAATCCCTGCAAACCAAGAACGCTCACCCAACAAAACTGTTCTTGTAAAAAGAAAGGACAGATAAAGACTTCTCACACTCACAAAAGCTCCGGGACATCATCATTGCCAGACCTGTTTTGCAAGAAATACTAAAAGGAGTTCTTCAAGCTGAAAGAAAAGAAAGCTAATGAGTAACTTGAGAGCATCTAAGAATTTGAAACTCACAGGTAAAAATACAGATAAGACCCGATGTAGAATAATAGTGTAAGAGTAGTACATAAATTGCTTATATCTTTCATACGAATTTTAAAAGATAAATTGATAAAAGTAATGGTAACCATTGATCAAAGCATATATGATATATAAAGATATAAGTTGTGACATCAAAAATTCAAAATCTGGGAAGGACTGAAAGTATATTAAGGATTTTTTTAGTATGGAGTAAAAGTTAAGTTTCTGTCATCTAAATGTTTATGACCATAATTTCGTGTCATGAAATTGCAAAGAAAGGATCTATAATAGATAGGCAGAACAAAGGGGAAAGGGTGAAGTACCAAAACACGCTACTAGAGAAAAAACACTTGACCACAAAGAAAGATTTTATCACAGGAAGAAAGTATCTACAAAACAAGTACAGGGTAGGCAACAAAATGGCAGCAGTAAATCCTATGCGTAGTCACTTTAAATATGAATGGATTAAATTCTCTAACTAAAACATATTGCATGGCAAAATGAATGAAAAAAACAAGACCCAATTAGATGTTGTTATAAAAGACTCATTTCACTATAAGGAAGGAGAACCAGCAGACTGAGGAGATATCTCAGTGGTCAAAACGCCTGCCTGGAAAGTGCAGGGACCCGGATTCAATCCTAGGTACCACATGCCGTGCCAGCCCCAAGACTGAGCATGGTGGC